CCTTCCTCCCTTGTCGTCGTCGTCGTCGTCGTCGTCGCCGTCGTCGTCTTCTGTCTTTCCTCGTCGTCGTCGTCCTCTTTGGCGTCGTCGTCGCTTCCGTCGTCGTTGTCGCCGTGGTCGTCCTTCCTCCCTCGTCGTCTTCGTCGGCGTTTCGTCGTTCTCCCTCCTATTTCGTCGCCGTCGTCGTCGTCGTCGTCGTCGTCGTCGTCGTCGTCGTCTTCACTCCTCCCTCGTCGTTGTCCTCCTCCCACGTCGTCGTCGTCGTCGTCCGTCGTCGGCGTCGTCGTCGTCTTCGTCGTCGTTGTCGTCGTCGTCTTCCCTCCTCCCTCGTCGTTGTCGTCGTCGGCGTCGCCGTCCTTCCTCCTTCTTCGTCGTTCGCGTCGTCGCCTTCTTCCCTCCTCCATCGTCGTTTTTGTCGTTGTCGCCGTCGTCGTCCTCCCTCCTCTCTCGTCTTGGTTGGTGACGTCGTCGTCGTCTTCGTCGTCGTCGTCAGCGTCGGCGTCGTCGTCGTCTTCGTCGTCGTCGACGTCGGCGGTGTCGTCGTAGTCGGTGTCGGCGGCGCCGTCGTCGTCGTTGTCGCTGTCGTCGTCGGCGTCGGTGTCGTGGCCAAGTGCCATGTGGTACCTACCGTCACGGTCTTGTCTTAGGAGGTCTTGCGACCAAGTTGCGGGTGTGAGGGTGGGATGTTTGCACGAGCAGTAGAGAGGACAGCTTCAAGACGGTCAAAGTGGATTGCACCTCATATATTGCACCACATGTATTGCACTACGTAGCTCACACCACGTACATCGAAGTAACTTAGTTGACGCCACTTGTAGTTAACAACACATATTACACTACAGCGATTGCGCCACACATATTGCACCACATAGATTGGCCAGCACAGCTTGCACTACATATATTGTGCCACAACGTGCACCTCGCATATTGAACAACACAGGTTGCACCACATATGCTGCACCACGTAGAATCCTGGAACACACTGTTTTTGGTCCACGCTATTGTTTTTTGACGGGTCGTGGGGGGGGCCCCACGGGTATTTTCGTGGGTCCGGGATGGTTGCTGGTCGGGTGGGGGAGGGAACAGTGATCAAGTTTCCAGCGGGAACGCCGCAAGCTGTCTCCCTTGCTCCCTCCAGCCCTCCCGCCATATAAGAGACTGTTTTTTAGGGTCCGGCGAGAACCCGGATTATCGGGCTCGCCCCCCCCCCCCCCCAGGATAATCTACCCGGTTGTGCAGGTCTAGGGGTAGGCGCAGGGAACTCGCATGGAGCGCTGTGTTCAACGATGTTCGTCACAGCATGTTGGTGTTTGGATGCACGTTTGCGAATCGTTGGGACTTGGAGTGGCACGGGGAGACGACGACGACGACGACGACGACGACGACGACGTCGACGACGACGACGACGCCGACGACGACGACGACGACGACGACGACGACGGTGGCGGCGACGACGACGACGACGATGACGACACACGACGACGACGACGACGACGACGATAGACGACGACAGACGACGACAGACGACGACAGACGACGACAGACGACGACGAGCGACGACGACGACGACGCCGGCGACGACAACCGACGACCGACGACCGACGACCGACGACCGACGACGACCGACGTCGTCTATAGGTACTGGAGGTGCACGTGAGCAGCGCGTACACAGGCGTTGCGTTGTGCACATGCAGCGAGGCGATTTGTTGCGCGCATTTGCTCCTGTTGCAGCGGGATCTGTTGTGTGCGCAGGCGTTGTGGTGCAATCGAGCATAAGTGCACGCAGATCGCGCGGTGCACGCGGGCATCATGATGCACCAGGCAATGTAGTGAAGACAGGCTGTGTGGTGTGCACAACTATTGTTAAAAGATCAGTTATAATCCGCGCAGGCATCCCAGGCATGGTGGTGTACAGAAGCACTGTGGTGCACGGTCATTGCGGTGTTCCCCACCTTGTGGTGTACACAGGCGCTGCGGTGTACACATCCGCTGCTGTGCACACATTCGCTATGATGTACACAGGCGTTCTGGGCCCAACAGACGGGACCGTTCCCTGCCACGGAAAAGTTAATAATCACAAGCAACTTACATATTGAATTTGATACGTTCGGATCCCCTGCGATTTTCTGGAGTTCGGTCCCGCTGGGGGCCCTGGAAGTGTGATGCACATAGGCGTCGTCGTGTACACAAGCAGTGTGTGTGTGTGTGTGTTGTGTACACAGGCGCTGCGGTGCACACGGCTGCTGTAGTGTACACAGGCATTGTGGTGTACACAAACATTTTTGTGTAGACAGGCGCTGCGGCGTACACAAGCAGCTATGGTGTACAAAGGCGTTGTGGCGCACGCTAGACAGGCGCCGTGGTGTACACAGACATGGTCTGCCAAATACGGGCGTACCGCACTCCGGGCCAGAAAAATCAATAATCACAAATAAGTTACATATTGAATTTGATACGCTCGGGCCCCCGGGGATTTCCAGATTTGGGCCCCGGCGGGACCTTGGAGGTGCACGGAAGCGCTGTGGAGGCCTGGCGCAAATGTTCGCCATGCGCTGTGGTGCATTCGGCTCCTGTGGTGTGCGCAAGCACAGCAGCGTACACAGGCGCTGTGGTGCACACGGCTGCTGTCGTGTACACAGGCATTGTGGTGGCGTGCGCATGCATTGTTGTCCAGACAGGCGTTGCGGTGTACACAAGCAGCTGTGTTGTACAATGGCGTCGTGGTGTTTTCTACACAGGCACCGTGGTGTACATAAATATGGTCGGCCCAAAATGGAGAAGGGACCGTACCCCAGGCCAGAAAAATCAACATCACAAATAATGTACATGTTGAATTTGATACGTTCGGGTCCCCAGGGATTTTCCTGATTTGGGCCCCGGCGGGACCTTGGAGGTGCGCGGAAGCGCTGTGGCGCAAATGTTCGCCATACGCTGTGGTGCACGTTGCACCCGTGGTGTGCAAAGGCAGTGTGGTGTACACAGGCGCTGTGGTGCACGCAGAAGCCTCTACTGCAGCAACACCTGTGGTGTGCAAGACCGTTGTGGCGCACGCACGTGTTGTAGTGCTCACAGGCAGTGTGGTGCACGCGTGTTCTATAGATAGTGTACACAAGACTTCTCGGCTACGCTTGGCAATCACATCCCGTGCATTCCAATGCGAGCTGTCCAGGCATCCCTAGGCATTCTCAGACGGCGCCCGCATCGTCGCAGCACCAATAGTAGCATCGCGGCAGCATCGTTAGCAGTTGTAGGGGCCGCAGCACCGGTGCGCGCAGGCATATGCAGGGCTGCCCACAGCGCGAAGGTTAGGTTATCATCGGCCGGCCCCCTCCCCCCCCCGTGATAACCCGGGTTATCGCCGATTCAAAAAAACACAGTCTGTAAGTCGCACCAGGGACTCAGCATAAGCAGAGGTCGTCATCGGATGGACAGTCATCGCGAATCAAGACAGGCGACAGGTGCGCAGGTGGGCGCCGTTCGCGAGATGCACCACTCGTGCCAGGTACGCCAAGCGCACCAGCTGCGCCAGGCGACCTAGTCGCTCAAGCGTGCCAGGCGCGCCTGGTGCGCCAGGCGCGCCACATGCACCAATTGTGTCACATGCTCCAGTCGCGCCAGGTGCGCCACGTGCTCGACGCGCGCAAAGTGCTCCAGGCGGTGACAGGTGCGCCAGATATGCCCCCCCTTCTCCTCCCCGACCATCCCTATCAAAAACCTACGCAAGATGTTGGCGGGGTGGGCAGCATGGTATACGTATGGCGTGTGCACATGCAAGGGGCGTGCATGAGTTTTCGACAAGGATAGTGGAGCAGCGCACGGCGGACAAATGCGACCCCCGCCCCCTTCCTTGTCAAAAACCAGAATGCCAATTTGTCGCGGAACGCCCGCTCATGATTCTGATGTTGCCGCCACGCGCATTTTGCATGGTTTGACAGGGACGGCTGGGGGTGGGCTTATAACTCCTGGTTGGCGACCAGTCCAGTGGGGGAAGGGGTTCTGATTAAAATGCGATCTCTGATTCAAGCCCTCCCCGAAGGAGAGAAGGTTTCGAATAGCTGAAGCGCTAAACGACCTACCCCTATCAGGCTGGCGGGACTTCCCAACAGCTATATCTATGGCGGCCGGGTAGTTTTCATAATGGGCTTTCGTTTTCGTTTCGCGCTTGCGCTCCTTTCTAAGGTTACTGACAGTTTTGCGGGATGAGGACGTGCCCCTTGTGTATAAAAAACATCTGGCGTTCGCCTGAGGCGTCTGTTGAGTAGGATGGTCATAAAATATTCAATATGCAGCAGTTACACGAGTGCAGGGTGGTGCCTCGTACATTGTGGTTCACCCTGAAGATTTCTGCAACACGCATGGCCTGAGCGAACGTGTGAAATTTCTACCACTTAGGAACCGAAGGGAATCCCTTCTCAAAGTTTGGCTCTCGTTTGAAACCTTCAGAGAAGAAAGGTGGACGATTCCTGCTGCGTGCGCCGATGGAAGGCGTTTCTGTCTTAACACCTCACTCTCGCTCCGGAGCCGCGCACGTGTTTCCTCACCGGGACCCTGGAAACCAGGAGATTACAAACGAGGACCCTGAGCGATCAGGATGGAGAACACGAGGACTGGAGAACCTTTGGACCCACGGCTGCATTTTTCTTGGGTGCGCCAGGATGTCATGGTTTATCAGAGAAGACCCGTTGACGCGGCCTTGGGTTCAAGTTTCTGCCACCGTGTGGAGGGCAATTGCTTCTCAACCTCGTTGTGTGTGTGTGTGTGTGTTGTGTGTGTGACTCTGTGCAGTCAAATCAGAATCTCAAGATACACTCGCTCTCGTCCGTGGGGCCCTCTCTTTTCTGGCGGCTGCTTGCCTCGGTGAAGGCGGCTGCTTGATTCGATTTTGTTACTTACCATGAGGGGGCCCAGGGCGGGAGAGTACTTCAGTATCAGTGGTGTGTGCTGGGTTTGCTCTGGTCCTTCTTCTCTTCCCCTCTGTGTCCTGATCTCATCCGCCAGAGGATGCGCGTGCGCTGTGCGAGTCAGGATTCCGCAGCATGCGGGACGCCTACATGACGGATTGCCGCGAGCAGACGAAAAGGTGCCTTCATCGTCGTCGTCGGTCTCGCCAGCGTCGTCGCCGTCGTCGAGGCCGCTGCTGTCGGTGTCGTTCGTCGTCGTCGGAGCGGAGAGGATGAGAGGGATGGGGGAGGAGGAGGAGGAGGAGGAGGAGGAGGAGGAGGAGGAGGAGGAGGAGGAGGAGGAGGAAGAAGAGCAGGAGGAGGGAGAGAGTGAGGCGCAGGGAAGGAGAGGACGGGGAAAGGGGCAAGGCGCGAGAAGGAGGCGGAAGAGGAGGAGGAGGAGGAGGAGGAGGAGGAGGAGGAGGCCGGGAAAGAGGAGGACGTCCTCTTCTTATTCTTACTACTCGATTCCGGGGAGGTGGGCCATCACTGGTAGGAGGTACGAGTAACAAGAGTAAGAGGAGGAGGAGGAGGAGGAGGAGGAGGAGAGGCGAGGGGAAGGGAAGGACTTGCGGGGAGAACGGGGGGTCGGGAAGATGAGCACATGGTGGAAGAGGAGAAAGAGCAGAAGGAGCAGAATGAGGATGATGAGGATCAGGAGGAGGAGGAGGAGGAGGAGGAGGAGGAGGAGGAGGAGGAGGTGGAGGACGAGGAGGAGAAGGCGCAGGGGGGACAAGGATCACCAGGAGCAGGATCAAGATGCATATGGGAGATGGGACAGTGCTTCGGCATCCGAAACTAATGGCGCTGTGAGTTGTTTCATTAGTTGTGATCGCTTTAGCGTTTGTATTCGCGTCGTTTTTTGTTAATATTTCTTTTCATTTTCGCCTGTATTCGAAAGTGGTGCGGTCCGGTGTCATGAGTATGCACGGGCGCCGCTCCAGAGTTCCACGCCTGCACGTCCTCCCTCGATCAGCGCACGGTCGGGATTTTTTTTGGATAGCGTGTCGCTCCGCCGGTTCTGGCCCACCATGCTTCGGCGCGACACGCTATCCACTGATGGGCCTGTCTTCCACCACCACCACCACCAGAAGTTGGAGGAGGGAAGGAGGTGCAGGACGAGGAGGAGGAGGAGGAGGAGGAGGAGGAGGAGGAGGAGGAGGCGGAGGACCCCCTCCCCCTACAACGTATGGTGGTGGTGGTGGAAGACGGGCCCATCATCCACTTCCGGGTCCCCCAGCGTCAATGTCCAGAGCTTTTCCCAGTTTGCCGTTATCCGCACGCTATCTCTACTCGGGAGGCACAGCGTGTGTCGCTCGGGCCGCCGTGGCGGCACGCTATGCCCAAACGCTCCCGACCGTAGGAAAAACGTGGAGGCCAATCGGGAGGTGGCGTGCTGGCGCTCTCAAGTCGGGGGAGCGTAAGACCCAGGTTTGCCGGGACTCGGGTTCGCCATCGTTTTTTGACGGCCGCGACTCGGATTTTGACGAGGAGGAGTTTCGTGGGATGTCTGCAGCGGGAGGCCTCGTCAAAATGCAGGCTCGGCCTCGTCATTTTTTTGACGACCTCGTCGGGGATTTCCGAGTCCCCCGTACCCGGGTCTTACGTCTCCCCGATCAAGGGCTAGCGCGCTCCTGGCTGGCTCCCTGTAAAGAACTGCGTCGAGGCGTTTTGTTCATGGGACCCACGCGCGCACACTCGTCATGCGCCGAAGGCGCTTGGACACCGACAGTACTGCATAGCGCTGTGCTAACAGATGCGCCGATCGTGCACAAGGTCATAACTCTGATTGCACAGGGTCATGGGATCCAGGTTACTACGGTCGCTTCATGGGTTGCGCTCGCGAGGGCACCCGAATTTGCGCCAGTTGTTGACGCCCATGCTTTGCGCCAGTTGTTGCGCCCGTGGGCTTCGCGTTGCGTGGCGCGCGCCAGCCAAGCTTTACTGTAGGCGCTTCAGATTGCGCCCATGGGTTGCGCCGTAAATTGCGCCCGTCGGTTGCTCCGCGGGGTGTGCGTTCTTGTACGGCAGGGTCGCGTCGTGTCGATTGGCGGCGACCCCAGCGCGGGGGTTAAGGTTGAACGCCGCCTGTGGCCCAGAATCGGCCCGGCCCATCCTTGAACGATGTAGCCTCTTTGAAAGGGCCGATCGTTCAAGTTTGAACGATCCCCGCGGTGTCAGGAACCAACGCCGGGGTCGACACGACGCGAACCTGCCGCACAGGGTGCTCTTTGGTGTCTTCGGTTGCGCTCACGGGTTGCGCCACATGCTGCGCCTTGCGCTGCTGGCGTTGTTCTGTGATGACTGTGCTGCTGCGCTGGTGCGCACTGCTCTGCATTTTTCCGCGTCTCCCTGCATTGCTCTGCATTGCCCCAGGCTGGCATTGCACTTCTTGTTGATTGGTTGTCATTGCTATCTTGATTTGTGTCTATTGTGCGTCTGTTGGAGTCGGCCGTCGACGCGTTGGTGTTTTATGGTTGGCGTCCTATGCTATGGTGATGGTCAATGTCCGCTGGTGGGCGAAATTATATGGTGCCGTATATCTGGTGCTATATGATTGGTTCCCTACGTTTAGTGCCTTCTGGTTCGTGCCGTGCCGCTTTCATCGAAACGCGTGCACATCAGGAGCGGAGTCACCTGACGTTTGGGTCTGCGTGGCATCGTTTCTTTTTGCTAGCTTCTTGTATTGTGAAAACCAGGCTGTCAATGACAATCGCATTTTTGGTACCAGTCGCCGCGTTCGCATTCGTACAAGTGTCTGTTCTAGTACCAGTATCGGGCTTGTTGCTCGTATTCGTGCTGGCTTTATTGTTGGCGGCGCTTGCATTCGTATCCACATGCGTTTTGCTTGCATTGTGCTAAACAGTGGCAGTAGTCGCCAGACAACAGTCAAACGTTGTCTCAATGATGAGCATTTGCCAAATGGCCCTTGCATCTTTCTGTTCTGGGCATCCTTGTCATACATGTTGTTCCCTCGGTCGCCCCTGCCTTGATGCGTTGTAGGCGCCTTCTGTCCTTGAACCCCATTTCTATGGCTGATTTTGATTGTAGCCATGTCAGGGACATGGGGATATTGAGCAGGATGAGGGATGACGCGAGGGGAGGATTTACTACGGGGGGACGGGTAGGAATACAGAGGACACTGGTCATTGGGCGGGACGAGCAGGAATTGGAGGGGGAATAGGAGGGGGAGGGATGGACGAGAGTGATAAATACGACCACAAGGCGGACGGAGTGCGGAGGTGGAGATGAACAGAGATGAGCAGGGATGAGCACGAGAAGAGGTGCAACCGCCTTCGCGACCTGATGGCGGAGTGCCAGGACCTCTGCGAGGAGGCGAGGCCGGCATGAGACGATCCTCCTTTCCTTCCCCTCTCAGCCTCCCCCAAGCCTCCCTCCTCCCTCTCCTTTCCCACACCTGCAGTCAAAACCCTAATAAGGACGCGCGACTTTGCTCAGGGTACCCTTGCGTCCTTGCTCTTCCTTGCTCTTGCGTCCTTGGGGTTTTCGTCGTCCGCCGCCCCAAAAATCCCAACTTCGGCTTCCAAGGGTCTTGCGTCCTTACCGCGCGTCCTTATTCGGGTTTTTGACTGTATCTCTTACTCGCGCCAGCATGCGTGCCATCACAAAAGTCTAGGCGCTGCGCCCGAGAAATCCTTCCAACCGAGATTGCCATCAATTGCTTTGGAAGGCTTGCTGCTTTCACACTCGGGTTTGCCCCCGAAATCCTGAAGGTTGCGACACGTGCGTGGATGGATGTCAGGTGGCTTTCAAAATCGGGATCTCGCCAGAAACTTCTTAACGTTTCTATCATACCAAACGTTGAGGTTTCCCATGCTTGTATGGCTGGAGGGTGGGTTGTTTTCAAAAGCGTGTCCTCGCCTGATCCTTGCAACGTGATAGTTTAGCATGTGCATGGATGGGAAGGGGGTCATTTCACAGGCGGGCTCTCGGATGATATTGCCACACGTCAATCCTGACGCTTCAGGTGCCGAGCAGAGTTCCACGGGCAAAAGGCGGCTCTTTCCAGAACTTGGTGCTGGCCTGAGGCGCCTTGGCATCGAATTGTTCTACTGCTTGAGTTCTCCAGCAGCTACAAAGATGCGATGATTTTAACTGAGGTGTCGCCTGATCCTAGTTCACGTTTTGTGGCCAATCGAGTCATACGTGTCTACATGCCCAGACGTTGCGCGGGTGGAGGGTTTTTCAAGCTCAGATTCTTGACAGAGGTTCCTCCACGTTCTATGACCATCGCGCAACGAATAATATTGCACGGGCTGATGGCCGTTCATTTTTGGAAATGGTGTTCCCGTGCCGGCACATTCTTCCCCATGCAACCACGTAATATGGATGAAGCGGGTGGCAACTCCCTCTTGGATTGTTGGCTTGTGCCACGCCACCGTCCAGCCGTATGTTGACCTCTTCGTCGATGCCCGCTTCGCGTGTGAAGGGTCGCCAGCGCGACGTTGGCGAAAGGGCGCGGGTGGCGTCCGTGCTGCCCACCAAGGGCGGGGGGGACGGGTCGGGGGGCTTTCGGCAGCGCCAGAGGGACCTCACACGGTGTCCGCAGTGGAGGCAGCCGTGGCCGCGGCCATGCGGGCCGTTGCCACCCCCGCCCCTCCAGACTGTGTCTGGAGGCGCCGCAACGCCGTCCGCGCTTTCTCCCAGTGAAGGGAGACGGAAAGTCGCTGGGCGTGTTGGTTTGCAGCTAGTGCGGCGTCTCCCCCCATGGCGTCAGTCACCCGCTTGGCCAGGACCCCGAAGGCCCTGCGTGCCTTGCGGGGATCCTCTGCAACCCTGCAGGCTGACTTCGTCGGGGCATCGAAGCAGACCGCTGGGCGTGGGAGGCGTGCCTCAGCTTTCCGCGGACAGCCGAGCGGCACGTCAATGCGCTAGAGCGGCTAGAGCTCGAGGCGCTCCTGGCTGCCTTCAAGTGGCGCCTGGGCAGGCCCTCCGAGACCAGCAGCTGTGCCGCTCATCTCTGCGACTCGCAAGTGTGTGTTGCCGTCGCGTGCAAAGGCCGCTCGGCCTCTGGCTAGTTGCTGCGCCGGCTGCTCAAACTTAACGCGCTGCTGCTCGCCTCGAGCTGCCACCCTTTCCATGTGTGCGTTCGGTCGGAGTTGAACCCAGCCGGCGAGCCTAGTCGGGAAGAGGCAAGTGCATGCTAGACGGCAGCAGGGGGCAGCGGCAGCAGCAGCGCAGGGCAGCAGGCAGTTGGAGGTCATTCCAGCTTCAGCCAGCCACGGTCAAGCGCTATAGGACAGCGCTCAAATTTCCTTTTGAGTGGTTGGACCAGAGCGGCGAGGAGCCCCCTGATTATTCGGCCAGTGCAGATGACATCCTCGCAGGATTTCTGGAGAACTGTTGGCCTCAAGGAGAGCCCCGATCCCTCGTGGGTGATGTGTTGTCTGGCCCGCAACGTTTTGTTCCGCCGCCTCGTCGTGCTTTGAACGACTCGTGGCGACTGTTCGGCACTTGGTCCAAACGACAGGTTCCGACGTGTGCTCGTCCTCTGTTGCCAGAACAAGTGTTGGCGATGGCGAGGTATGCGCTCCTCGATGGCGATGTCGCCATGGGCGCAGCTTTCTTTGTAGCCTTCAATGGCATCTTGCGGCCCATCGAATTGATGCTGCAAGCAGGTCAGCTGACCTTTGATTTCGTGAACTGTACCTGCCACCTGCACCTGGGGCTAGCTAAGAGCGGGAAGCGTGCCGGCATACCTGAGCGCGTCATAATCGACGAACCTCAGGCCGTGGTCTTGTTCGGCCAGTTTGTCGCAAGCGAGCCGGCTGGAGTTCAATTGCTCCTAAAGGGTACTGCCGGTTTTCGTCGCTCGTCCGCAAAGTTTGGCACGCGCATTGGCGCCAGCGCAGATCGATGCAAGCCGTATTCTTTGAGGAGAGGTGGTGCAACGCACCATTGGAGGGTGCTGGGGAATTTGGGACAGACAACGGTGCGCGGCCGCTGGCGCCGCCAGACCACAGCGTTAATCTACCTGCAAGATGGAGTACAGATGCTCGAAAAACTGCGCCTCACGCCACGAGGAAAGAAGCTCGTGGTCCTGGGGAACTCACACTTGGAACGGCTCGTTTCGCCCGAAGCCCTCAGCCGCCCTCGAGCCCGAGAAGGGGGGTGCGTGGAAGGTGTGGGGCGGCTCCACCGCGGAGCGCCCGCCTAGGCTGCCCCTCTCCCTGCTGCCAGCCCTGCTGCCAAGCGCGCAGGGCGGCGCGGGATGGGCGCCGTGGCTGCTTCGAGCGCCGCCTCGACCTTCGCGCGTGAGCGGCGCCGCGGGCCCGCGCTCTCGCGGGCGCCCTGTGCCGCGCGAAGGTGCGGCCGCGCGCTCTTGAGAAAAGGGCGCGCGCTTCCCGATGAGGAGTGGCAGCACTAAACGTACAAATGCGAATCAGAATTATATTCCTAATGCGCGTAATAAGGACAATCCTATTCCAAAAGAGTAATACGACACATAATAATACGTTCAATTCGACTAGGAAAAATGACGATACTAACATGCATCACACTCATATTCCGATGCCGCTAGTAGTAGGACTGAGAAGAAGAATGAGATAACGAAAACTAGCACTAAGACAGATAACGGAGCAGGAGGAGCAGGAGCAGGAGGATGAAAAGGAGCAGTAGGAGGGGGATATTACAACGCAGGGAAGAGGAGGACGGGGAAAGGGACAAGGCGCGATAATGAGGCGGAGGAGGAGGATGAGGGGGAGGAGGAGGAGAAGGAGGAGGAGGAGGAGGAGGTGAAGGATTAACAACATTGAAAGCAGTACCAATAATGAAAGCACGGCAATTTATTATTACAAATTGCGAGTCGATGAAGTATCTTAGCCATACCAGCATTCAGAACAGTTGTATCAACACTACGGATAATGCTATTAACAATATTGCGAATGATGCTGGTGACGCTGATCATGGTGATGATGATGCTGACGCTGGTAAACTATTATTGCAACTGGTAATGCGACTAATCCTATTACCCATACGACGAATAGTGGTAGTCATACCAATGATACTGATGTTAATAATGCGAACGCTAATACCAATGCTGATATAGATGCCACTACTACCACACCTGTGAATCATACTAATAATACTGGTAATAATAATGATACTAATACCAATAACAATAGCAATACTAATAACAATATTTTGAATACAAATAATACGACTAATCATATGAATACCACTACTACTACTAACGATATCATTATTAATCACCATATCATCAATATTTTTAATAATGACATTGTTATGGTTAGTAGTTGTATCATTCGTATTTTTAGGTTTCTTCGTATTTTTATGGTTTTTTTCGTTATTATTTATTTATTTATTTATTTGTTTATCTATTTATTTATTTATATTTTTATTTATTTATTTGTTATTATTATTATCATTATTATTATTGTTATTACTACTAGTATCATCATCATTATCATTATCATTCATAATAATACGAATACTAATACTAACACGATGCTCAGTAATAACGATACGAACAAGAAACTACCACTCATACTTTTAAGAATAATAAGGACAGAAGGAGGGGGAGGAGGATGATGCTGATGATGCTGCTGCTGCTGATGATGATGATGATGAGGAGGAGGAGGCGGAGGAGGAGGAGGAGGAGGAGGAGGAGGAGGAGGAGGAGGAGGGGGGGGACAGGATCAGGAGGAGGAGGAGGGGAGGAGGAGGAGGAGAGGAGGAGGAGAGAGATGGAGGAGGAGGAGGAGGGGGAACAGGAGGAGGAGGAGGAGGAGGAGGAGGAGGAGGAGGAGGAGGAGGAGAGAGGAGGAGGAGGAGGAGGAGGAGGAGGAGGAGGAGGGGAGGAGGAGGAGGAGAGGAGGAGGAGGGAGGAGGAGGAGGAGGCGGAGGGAGGCGGAGGCGGAGGCGGAGGCGGTGGCGGTGGCGGAGGCGGAGGCGGATGCGGCAGAGGGAGGAGGAGAGGAGGGGCGGAGGAGGAGGAGGAGGAGGAGGAGGAGGAGGAGGAGGAGGAGGAGGAGGAGGAGGAGGAGGAGCAGGAGCAGGAGAGCAGGAGCAGGAGCCAGGAGGAGCAGTTGGAAGAGCAGGAGGAGCAGGAGAGCAGGAGGAGCAGGAGGAGGAGGAGCAGCAGGGAGGAGAGGAGGAGGAGGGAGGAGGAGGAGGGGAGGAGGAGGAGGAGGAGGAGGAGGAGGAGAGGAGGAGGAGGAATTGCAAGAGGAGGAGGAGGAGGAGAGGAGGAGGAGGGGGAGGAGGAGGAGGGAGGAGGAGGAGGAGGAGGAGGAGGAGGAGGAGGAGGACTTGGAGGCGGAGGAGCAGGTGGCAGAGGAGGAGGACGAGCAGGAGGAGAAAGAGGATGGGGAGGAGCAGGAGGAGAAGGAGCAGGAGGAGCGGCAGCAACAGCAGGAGGATGAGGAGGAGCAGGAGGAGGAGGAGGGGGAGGAGGAGGAAGAGGAGCATGAGCAAGAGGATCATGAGGGAAAGCAGTAGCACAAGCAGGAGCAGGAGCAGGAGGAGGAGCAGGAGGAGCAGGAGGAACCAGAGTTCGCCGGGGGAGGAGGTGCCCGCCGCCAGGCCTTCCGGAGGTGCTCGCCGCCCCCAGTGGAGGGCGGCCTCCTGCCGCGGCTGAGGCGGGCCCTGTGACGGGGCCCGCCCTGCTACGCCGGCCCCCAGGGAGACGACGGCGTGGACGACGATTGACTACACGCAAGAGTGATCTCTCGCAGGAATGACCTTCGTTACGGGCCCAATGAGCCCCACCGATCGCCGAATGCGAGGCGATGGCAGCGGCTTGCGCGCCTGGTGGTGTCCCCACAGGTCCCCCCTCTGACCGCGCACTAAAAGCCACTCTTGCCTAGGGTCACTCTTGCGAGTATCCGATCGAAGTGTTGCCAGAATTGTCCCCAGGCCCAACCCTGAGATCTGGGCGCTGCAGGTTTTTCGAGCTGGGCGCTTTCGACCAGTATCGGCCCCCAGGGCCCTCACATTTGGATCCGGTCCGAAAAGTGCAGCAGAAGATGGGGTCTAGATGATCTGGATTCCGGTCGTGATTATTCACGTTTTTTTGCAATGTCGGATCTCAGGAAAGGTGCCTCCAGGATTTCTAAGAAGTTCCCCACGGCCTCCAGAGCACCCGTCCCGAGGCCCAGAGGGCCCGAAGGGTTCAGAATGGAGAGAAAAGCTGGGGGCACCTTGGGCCAGGGACACCCTTAGCAACCCCCGACTCACGGGCTCCTCCTCTCCCTCCTCCCTCTCGACCCTTCCGTTCTTTGTGGGCTCCTCTCCAGCGTGTTCTGGCTGTGGTAATTCGTGTGCCTCTCGTGCCCCGCTGCGTTCGACCAGCCTCGCTCTTGCCTCCTAGACTTCGGGCTCAGTCATGGTCTGGTCGGGGGATGTGCCCTTTCACCGTGCACTACCGCTTTGACCTTGCTTCGGTGCCGTATTTGTTTCCTCCTCTTCGCATCCCGTCCTTGCGGACAGCATTTCGCCTGGCACGGGGGTTCTGCCAAGTTGGGCAGATGCACGCGCCATTGCGTGGGTTCGTGGAGCGCTAAGTGGCGTTTGGCAGGTCGTATCCTAGTTCGATTCCCTCGCTTTCCCGCTGGCCAGAGTGGCGCTTGTTGGGTGATTACAATCTGTCCTTCTGGTCTTCGCCCCTTCGAGAACTCAGGGGAGGAAGCGATACCGATACTGCTGTTCGTTCTGGAGAACCCTCGTCTCCACGGCTGGATTCTCATCGAAATTCTGATCCGAACGCACCCCAGGAGAGGTCTGCGGATTCGCGGTATCGGTATCTCCCGCAAGAGCAAAGTCACAAATAGGCGTCTTGCCGGATCTTCTATGTGGCGTTCAAGGAGGTCTTCGCCTTCGAGGATCGAAGGAGTTGCCGTTTCTTCCTCCACGTCAAGCGGCGGAAGGGCGGCGGAAATCGGTGGAAGTAGAACGAGTCTGCTTCCGCCAGCGGAAGCCGGCGCAAGGTTGGCGGAAGCTGGCGGAAGTAAAATATGCGTTCCCAATAGATTGGAATGTTTTTTGGCTCAGGGCCTCTTATCGCAGGCATTTTTTTCCCCCAATCCCCGAGTTCCGTCCGAAAAGTTTGGCCGCTGAAAAGAAAGGGAACCCTGGGATACACCCCAAGGGGGCTATTCGGACGCACCCCAATCGGGGATGCACGCCCTCCCATCACACATCCCAGGGTTGGCCCAACATCACATGATTTGTCCGCTCGAAGATCCCACGACGCCTGGGATAGGGGTCGACGTATCCCCTGTTGTCTTGATCGGGCGAAGAGAACTATGCACATGCACCGGTCCTGGCCAGGCCCATCCTTGGCCCCAGGATCGTTGCATATGCCTTCCTGGCCAAGGCAGGAGGGTGTATGCACCGATCTTGGGCTCAGGATGGGCCTGGCCAGAATCGGTGTACATGCATAGGTTTTTTTTTCTCTACTTGAACCCGCCATGTCCTTGCCTCCTTCCCTTCCGGGGCCTCCCCCGCCCCCCTCTGCCGCGCCGTCATCCGCGCGCGGTGCCTCGGGCGTGGGCGCGCCGGAGCGCGCGTGCGCGAGCGCAACTCGCTGCGAGGAAGCGTGGGCGGGAGAAGAGGCTTGGAGGAGGAGGGGGAGGAAGAGGAGGGGGAGGAGGAGGAGGAGGAGGAGGAGGAGGAGGAGGAGGAGGAGGAGGAGGAGTAGGAGGGAGGAGGAGGAGGAGGAGGAGG